CTTCTGGGACCCCTGACCTATCAGCATAGGAGAATGATTCTGACACTTCAGTGTGCGTTGAGATTTTTGAAAGTAGATCCCCAGATTCCACTCCAGAGATCATTATTCAGTAGGCTGGGATGAGATCCTTAGAACTTGAATATTTACCATCATTTTAAGAGTTTTTGTTGTTTGTTTGTTTTAGAGACAGGATCTTGCTCTGTTGCCCAGGCTGTAGTGCAGTGGTGTGATCATAGTTCACTGTACCCCTCCCTACTTAGCCTCCTGAGTAGCTGGGACTACAGACCTCAGCCACCAAGCCTAGCTAATTTCTTTCTATTTTTAGTAAAGACAGGGTCTCCCTCTTGCTCAGGCTGGTTTAGAACTCCTGACCTTGAGTGATCCGCCTACCTCGGCCTCCCAGAGTGCTAGGATTATAGGCATGAGCCACCGCGCCTGACACTCAGGCTACTCTTGAACTCCTAGCTTCAAGTGATCCTCCTGTCTGTCAGCCTGCAGTGGGAGTGCAAGGTGCGGTGCTTGGAGCACCTGAAGGACAATGCAGGGTTGGGTCGAGGCCTCCCAAATTGTTCAGATTACAGGTTTGAGCCACTGAAACTGGCCATTTTTTGAGTTTTGATGTGATTCTGGAAACTACACTTTAAGAAAGAAGTTATGGGGCCGGGCACGGTGGCTCACGCCTGTAATTCTAGCTCTCTGGGAGGCCGAGGTGGGCGGATTGCTCAAGGTCAGGAGTTCAAAACCAGCCTGAGCAAGAGTGAGACCCCATCTCTACTATAAATAGAAAGAAACTAATTGGCCAACTGATATATATATAAAAAATTAGCCAGGCATGGTGGCACATGCCTGTAGTCCTAGCTACTCGGGAGGCTGAGACAGAAGGATCGCTCGAGCCCAGGAGTTTGAGGTTGCTGTGAGCTAGGCTGACGCCACGGCACTCACTCTAGCCTGGGCAACAAAGCGAGACTCTGTCTCAAAAAAAAAAAAAAAAGAAAGAAGTTACGGTGGTGGTGGTAGGGCAGGAGTGGGGTAGGGTGGGGGATAGGTCTCTATGGTCTGGGTGTCCAGGTTCTATTCCTGGTTTTACCACTCAGACACTGTGTGATCTTGGACAAGGCACATCTCTCTGAGTATCAGTTTCCTCATCTGTAAAACAGAGAGATAATAATATCTATCTTAGAGGGTTGTCATTAGTGTAAGGCTGGTGGCGGGGGGCCCCTCTCCACTCCCTAGATCAAAAAGAAAAGGCTCAGGAGACCAGACCCGCCAAGGACAAACTACCAGACCCCACTGAGAAAAACCAAACCCAGGTGTCCACCCAGATAAGAATGTTTTGGCTCCTGGATTCAGCAAATACCACCAGCCCCTCCTATTTCTCAATGACCACCAAAGGTTGCCCCAGCCCTTCCCACCAAAAGTCCCTAGCCTGGCCCAAACAGTATAAAAGGCCCCATTCCCTTCAAACGGGGGCAACTTCTGGGGCCCCCCCTCTCTTAGGGCCTCAGAACCTCATCCGGGAGCACTAAATAAAGCCACATGGTTTGGCCCCACTCTTTCTCTTTCTCTGTCTGTCTTTTCTTTTTGCCACCACCGAAAAACCTTACAATGAGCATTACATAACGAATGGAAAGCACTTAGTATAGGGCTTGGCACCTACTCAGTAAATGCCATCATCGTCATCATCATCATTGCCTTAATCTCACAGATTCTTTTCATTTGTTTGTTTGTTTTTGAGACTGAGTCTCGCTCTGTCACCCCAGCTAGTGTACAGTGGTATCACCATAGCTCTCTGCAACTTCAAATTCCTGGTCTCAAATGATTCTCCTGCCTCAGCGTCCAAGTAGCTGGGGCTACAGACACACACCATCATGCCTGGCTAATTTTTCTGTTTTTAGTAGAGACTGGGTCTTGCTCTTGCTCAGGCTGATCTCGAACTCATGAGGTCAAGTGATCCTCCCTCTTCAGCATCCCAAAGTGCTAGCATTACAGGTGTGAGCCACCACACCCAGCCTCTCAAAGATCCTTATTCTGTCCAAACCCATCCATCCTCTCTCTACTCTCAGGATGTCCAATCACACTATAACTTGCACTACTTCCCCATCTCCAATGATGAGAGAGGTTCCCTATCCTATGAGACCTCTGGTCCAAACTTCTATTGTGCAATTGTACACTTTACAGGAAGCAGGGCAGGGGCTACTGAAGCCCCTGGACACACATCCCCTCTCTCCCCAACCCCAGACTTCAGGCTCACAGAAAATCTACTATGGGCACAGCAGCTGCAGTACGACCTATAGACAGGAGGAGACAGTAGTGGGTCAGGACCAGCTGTAGGGTTTGGGAGTAGGACTAGGGAGAGAGGATAGGAAGGAGAGAGAAGACTGTTCAGAGCTTGTGTGCTGGTGGTGGGGTGGAGAGGATGACGGCCTACAGGTAGAATGTGTACTCATTGTGGGTGCTTTCCTCCCCACAGAGAGGCTTTTATCATTTCAAGATCTTATCTTCTGCCGGGCGCTGTGGCTCACGCCTGTAATCCTAGCTCTTGGGAGGCCGAGGCGGGCGGATTGCTCAAGGTCAGGAGTTCAAAACCAGCCTGAAGCAAGAGCGAACCCGTCTCTTACTATAAATGAAAGAAATTAATTGGCCAACTGAATAATATAAAAAATTAGCCGGGCATGGTGGCGCATGCCTGTAGTCCCAGCTACTCGGCGAGGCTGAGGCAGAGGATCACTCAAGCCCAGGAGTTTGAGGTTGCTGTGAGCTAGGCTGACACCACGGCACTCACTCTAGCCTGGACAACAAAGTGAGACTCTGTCGCAAAAAAAAAAAAAAAAAAAAAGAAAAAAAAAAAGATCTTATCTTCTCCATAGGGCCTATTATGCCATAGTGAGGTCTCATCCCTCAGTGGGACCTGTCCCCACTAAATGAGGTCTGGGCCCCTTCAGTGTAGTTTGAGGCCCCTCAATGGAGTCTGTGTTCTCTCAATGGGGTCCATGTCTATAGTAAAGTCTTAGTAAAGTCTATAGCCTCTGTATTTCCTAGGGGGAAATCCATGTCCCCTCTGTAGGATAAATGTCCTTCAATGCCATGCATGTCCTATTAGCAGGGCCCAGAGCCCTTTAGTGGGATCTGAGAATCCTCAGCAACATCTGTGTTCCCTTAGTGGAGTCCATGTACCTTCAGTGGAGTGTGTGTCCCTTCAGTACAGCCGATGTCTCCTCAATGAAGTATCTGTCCCCTCAATGGAGTCCATGTCCAGTCTAAGAGGTCTGTGCCCCTTCAGTGAGGACTGAGATCAGGATTGAGTAGGCTCTGGATCATGTCTGACCATGCGGAGATTTTTTTTTCAGCTTAGGGTGTGTTGGGCTTATGGTCAACTTGGCAGAGGGCAGTGGAGCAGGTGGGAAGGGAAGCTGGGCTAGATGGGGTTACATGTGCTGTGTAGGCTTCAGGAGGCGGGAGCTGCTTGCTTCAGGGCTTAGAATCACTCTTGAAGTTAGATATTTAAGAATCCTCAGCTGGGTGTGGTGGCTCATGCCTGTAATGCTAGCATTCTTGGAGCCCGAGGTGGATCACTTGAGTTCAGGAGTTCGAGACCAGCCTGAGAAAAAGCAAGACCCCATCTCTACTAAAAATAGAAAAATTAGCTAGATGTCATGGCACACACCTGTAGCCCCAGCTACTTGGGAGATTGAAGCAGGAGAATTGTTTAAGTCTAGGAGTTTAAGGTTGCAGTGAGTTATGACACCACTGCACTCTAGATAGGGCGACAGAGCAATATCCTGTCTCAAAAAAAAAAAAAAAAAAAAGAATCCTTCCTGCCTTGACAGCCAATCTGTGAACTGATGGGTGAGAGGTAGGCCCTTCTTGGCAGTACAGGTGGGAGATAGAGGGTCCTCCCTGACTTCTTTCTGGGATGAAGGGGCTAGTGGGAAGCCAGAGGTAATTGAGCCCAGGTTGTGGCAAGTGGGGGAGAGGAAGTCCCTTGGTGAAGTAAAGAGATTGGGAAGGAAAGATGAGAATGTGAATGACTCCACCTATTCAAACAGACTTTGGTATTTTACCAGCCTTAGCTTCAGCCTGATGAGGAAGTAAAACTAAACTTGCAGTCAGGGAACTTAGGTTTGGCCCTAACTTGGTGGTTGTTTGCTCTGTGACCTTGCGCAAGTTTATTCCCTTTCCTGGGTTTACTATTTGTGCAATTAGGCAATTAAGTGTTGAGTTTATTATCAAAGACCTGAAGGCACCCCCCAGTCTTCACTTAACGAGTCTTGTATTTTAGCTCTGGACAGAGATTTATGAAGGCAAGGAGATTGAAGACATATCCTTAAAAGCAGGAGAAAATCTGAGCAGGCGTCAGGGTTAGCAGAGAGGCGGTCATGTACGCTGGGCCATGTCCTCAGAGTTGTGGGAAATTTTTTTCCTGAGGATGGAATGGGGGTGTTGCTCAGAGAAGAGGAGGACCTTGTCGGGGAGGGTGTCATCCGCAAGGGACCTTACTTCACCTGGCTTTTCAACTCGGTGGGGTGACAGGACTGTGCAATCAGACCAAGGGGCAGCTCCACCATGGGCCTGACCCAACTCCTCCCGTTAGCCCCGTCCTTTCCCGCTCGAGCCCCGCCCTAACCCAACCCCTTATGTGTCAGTCCAGGACCCCACCCCACCCCACCCTGGTCACTCCATGGCTCGACCTCCTCTCCAGTCACATCCAGCCCGGCTACTCCCCATCACTCCATGGGCCCACCTCCTCTCCTGTCACGCCCGGCCCCGCCCCTTGCTGTCATTCCGTGGTCCCACCCTTTCTCCTATCCTGTCACGCCCGGCCCCGCCCCTGCTGCTTTCACTGGACGGTTCCACTCTTTCCGGCAACTCAGTTCCGCCCCTATGCTTCGACTTATCAGTGCAGTATTTCTGTCTTTGAGAACTCTGACCCCGCCCCCACCGGACGTGGCCCCGCCCCTTCGGGAATCCGCCCACCTCTCTGCCTAAGCCCCGCCTCTGAAAGACTCCGCCCCACTAGCCTAAGGCTCCGCCTCTAGGTCGATCTGTTTTCCCCGCCCGGGCACCCGTGGCGACCGCAAAGGCGGCGACGGTGCTCGAAACTTGACGCGATGGGGCTTCCCGAGGAGCGTGGCCGGAGCAGCAGCGGGAGCAGGGGCCAGGAGGAAGCTGGAGCCGGAGGCCGGGCGCGGAGTTGGTCTCCGCCGCCTGAGGTCAGCCGCTCCGCGCACGTCCCCTCGCTGCAGCGCTACCGCGAGCTGCACCGGCGCTCTGTGGAGGAGCCAAGGGGTGAGGCCGGGCCCGGGCGGGCCTGGGGGGCGTCGGTGAGCAGAGGAGCGGGCGTTTCCTGGGAGAGTTGGGGGCTCCCTTGGGAAGTTGAGGAGTCTACGAGGAGACAGAGGTTCTGTGAGTGAAGAATTGCAGTTCTTTGGGGAGAAGGAGAAGGGATCCCAGGAGGAGATGGGGTTCAGTGAGGAAAAGGAGCGTTTTTGTGAGGAGATGAGGGTTCCATGGGAGTTGGGGAGTTCTTCGGATACTTGGGGTCCGTGAGGAGAGGAAGGTTTGTGCAAGGAGAAAGATGATTCTGTGAGGAGATGCGGGGTTCCGTGACGGAAGTGAGGTTCCTTGAGATTGGGGGAGTCAGCGAAGAGAGTGAAAGTTTCATGAGAAGGGGAGTTCCTGAGTCGAAAAGAGGGGATTTATGGGGAGAGGGACGCCTTGAGGGGAGGAGTAGAACTTTCTTTGCCTCCCTTTGACACTATGACCTTTAACCTGTGAACTGTTGAGGGGCAATAACGGGTCTAGCTCCCATATTGGGGCCCTCAAAATTAGTAATGAGGTCCCAGATCTATTTTTAATATGTTAAAAATCCCAACGGAAATTACCAAGTATAAGACTGAACCAGTCACTAAAATGTCAAGTTTAAAAAACAAAAAACTTGGGCTGGGATTATAAGTCAGAGATTTGATAAATGGTTCCATGTCTTTAAAAATGTGTGAGGAAAATTCCCTGCCTTTACTCTCAGTCTGGGTAAGGGGTCAAAACTGTACCCCATTTGGGAGGCAGCCTGATGTTTGGTTGTGGGACAAGTATGGGCTGCAAATCAAACACAGAAAAACTTAAATGTAGACCCTAGTTTTGTTTTTTTGTTTTTGTTTTAATACAGAGGCTCACTCTGTTGCCCTGGCTAGAGTGCCATGGTGTCAGTCTAGCTCACAGCAACCTCAAACTCCTGGGCTCAAGCAATCCTTCTGCCTCAGCCTCCCAAGTAGCTGGGACTACAGGCATGCGCCACCATGCCTGGCTAATTTTTCTATATATAATTTTAGTTGGCCAATTAATTTCTTTCTATTTATAGTAGACATGGGGTCTCACTCTTGCTAAGGCTGGTTTTGAACTCCTGACATCGAGCAATCTGCCCGCCTTGGCCTCCCAGAGTGCTAGGATTACAGGTGTGAGGCATCGCTTGGCCTAGACCCTAGTTTTGCAACTCATTTACTGTGGGGTCTCAGGCAAATTTTTTAACACATTAACTGCCATGTGAGTTCTATTTAACTCACTCTAGTTTTGAGCCCAGCACCTTGTGAAGCATATGTAACTCACACATCTCTTTGCCTTGGGAGTCCTGTGAACTAGTTTTCAAGTTGCATATAGCTCATGCATAGAAAACAATAAGAAATAACAAATTTTTCACTAAATTAGAAAGGATCATTTTGTTTTCAAAGTTTTTATTCAATTTTTGTAATAAAACACTGTGGCTCCAAGGCAAAAATTTTTTTCTAGTGTGGCAGTCTGTTAAACATATCTGTTTAACACATGTCAATGTGTTAAACAATGAAGATTTCTTTTCTTCATCTATAAGATAGGAATAACAATACTTCCCTCATCGGTTTATATGAGGACTAAAGTGTGTAATAAGTAAAGTGTGCACTATAGAGTGCCTGATGCTCAGTAGACAGCTAATAAATGGTAGTTTGATAATAATAAGAATAATATGGACAAAGTAGTTACTGAATAATGCAAGACAGGTGTAAAGTGGTGGAGTTGGAGTTGGGATTTTGAACTAAGGCAATCTTTTTTTTTTGAGACAGGGTGTTGCTCTGTCACCCCAGCTAGCATATAGTGGTATCATCCTAGCTCACTGCAACCTCTAACTCCTGGGCTCAAGCAATCCTCCTGCCTTGGCCTCCCGGAGTGCTAGGGTTACAGGCATGAGCCACTGTGCCACTGTAAGGCAGTCTTGACTGTAGAGCCTATATCCTAATAGCAATGCTATTCCATTTCCCTGACCTTACAATATGCTTTTCATCAAATTCTGTCAAATACTCCCTCAAAAGATATTCAATTCCTAGAGATCCTTTTAAATCAAGGAAGTAGCCTTTTCTTTTCATTTAATTCCCTTCTCTTCAATTTACCTTTTTTTTTCAATTCCCGGCGATCCTTTTAAATCAGTGGAGTAGCCTCCTAATTTATTGTCTATTTTCTAGTCTCACCACCTTCAGTCTCTCCGGTAGATTTATCTAAACACCGTTACACTGATATTATGGAAATAACTACTTTCATATGTCACTGCAAAAACTTATAATAGCTCACTGTTTCCTGCAGTTTCAAATTAAAATTCTGCTTGGCCAGGCATGGTGGCTCATGCCTGTAATCCTAGCACTCTGGGAGCCGAGGCGGGCGGATTGCTCGAAGTCGGGAGTTCGAAACCAGCCTGAGCGAGATCCCGTCTCTACTAAAAATAGAAAAAAATTAATTGACTAAGTAAAAATATATATACAAAAAATTAGCCGGGCATGGTGGCGCATGCCTGTATTCCCAGCTACTCGGGAGGCTGAGGCAGTAGGATTGCTTGAGCCCAGGAGATTGAGGTTGCTGTGAGCTAGGCTGATGCCACGGCACTCACTCTAGCCTGGGCAACAAAGCGAGACTCTGTCTCAAAAAAAAAAAAAAAAAAAATTGGGATAACTAAAGCATACTTTATACAACCATAATATCATAAAGATTGAATGAGATTAGTCCAATTCCTGATATATGAATGGCATTCACTAAATATCAGTTCCTGTTTGCTTTCTCTTGAATGGCCATTTAGTATTCCATTGTATTACTACTTGAATTACCAGTTGTTATCAGTTTGGTATTGTTGGGCTTTTAGGATTGCCTCTAATTTCACTATTATAAATAGTGTTGCTGTAATCATCTTTTTAGTAATCATTTTTTTTTCCTTTGGGATTATTTCTTAGAGTATATTTCCCCAAAGTTGAGTTAGCAGATAAAAGGGTAGAAAATGTTTTATGGCTCTTGTCAGGCATTGCTCTTCTGTCCAATAAGATTGTGCCAATTTTTACAATGCCATTATTGTGTAATAGTATCTGCTTTCTCAGGACCACTCCAGACATTGGGTTAAATCATTTTTTCAAATCTTTGCAAGTTTTATAGGTACATAATGGTACTTTGGGGTTGATTTAATTTGTTTTTTGTTTTTTGTTTTTTTTTTGAGACAGAGTCTCACTTTTGTTGCCCTGGCTAGAGTGAGTGCCGTGGCGTCAGTCTAGCTCACAGCAACCTCAATCTCCTGGGCTAAAGCGATCCTCCTGCCTCAGCCTCCCGAGTAGCTGGGACTACAGGCATGCACCACCATGCCCGGCTAATTTTTTGTATATATATTTTTAGTTGGTCAATTAATTTCTTTCTATTTTTAGTAGAGATGGGGTCTCGCTCAGGCTGGTTTCGAACTCCCGACCTCAAGCAATCTGCCCGCCTCGGCCTCCCAGAGTGCTAGGATTACAGGCTTGAGCCACCGCGCCCGGCCTAATTTGGTTTTCATTAATGTATCACAAGGTTGTGCACCATGTAATTTAGTTTTCAATTGTATTCTGTCTTGTACATTAAAAATATTTCATGTATTAATATTATCTCTCCAACTAAATTGTATAAACTCTAAACTGTGTAACCTTGAACAAATCCCTTAGCCTCTACAAATTTGGTTTTGTATGAAATGAAATGAGGGGGTCATAATCTCCAAGGTTTCTTCCATTGTTCTGGTTCTAAGTGTCTCTCTCCCCTCCAACTCTTAGTCCAGTACTCAAAATATCCTAAATTCTCTGCATTGAAATGTTTTACCTGTTGAGTATATTTTCTCCAGAGGAGCCAGATATTTTAAGAATGTAAATCTGATCATGTCACTCTTGTTTAAAACTCTTAATGGATTTCCATTGCTCTTGAGATAAATACCGAATTCCTTATCATGCACCCAAGGATTGCATGATCTGCCCAGATTATGCATCAATTCCTGCTATTCTTTCTCTTCCTCTCAGTGTTTTAGCCTTAAGGAGTTCCTCTTAACATATACCCTTGTTCCCTCCCATCCCATAGTACCCTGGTAAGCGAGTGGAAAAAACTCTTAATCATCTTTCAGATTTTAGCAAAAATGTCTTTCTCGGGGAAGTACAAATTTTGACTTAGTAAGTGTGTAGCCTTGGACAAGTTATTTAACCTCTATGAGCCTTAATTTTCAAGTTCACAAAATGAGAAAAGCCTCCATCCTAGGGTTATAGTAAGGACTAGATGAGCTAATACATATAAAAATCTTATAGCAATAGGCCGGGCGCGGTGGCTCACGCCTGTAATCCTAGCACTTTGGGAGGCTGAGGCGGGCGGATTGCTCAAGGTCAGGAGTTCGAAACCAGCCTGAGCGAGACCCCGTCTCTACTAAAAATAGAAAGAAATTAATTGACCAACTAAAAATATATATAGAAAAAATTAGCCGGGCATGGTGGTGCATGCCTGTAGTCCCAGCTACTCGGGAGGCTGAGGCAGGAGGATCGCTTAAGCCCTGGAGTTTGAGGTTGCTGTGAGCCAGGCTGACGCCACGGCACTCACTCTAGCCTGGGCAACAAAGCGAGACTCTGTCTCAAAAAAAAAAAAAAAAAAAAATCTTATAGCAATAGCTGACATATAATGATAACACTTGTACAAGTAGAGATAGGAGGAGATGCTCAAATGCTGAGAGAGAATGAACAAATTAAGAGAAGAAACAACGGGTCATGTGAAGCTCTGTGAGTAAATCATTTCTTCCTTTCACTAATTACTTCATTTAAAAAATTACTGATTGCCTGCTAGGAGCTTGGCATTATGTTAGGTACTGGGTGGCTATGATTTGAATAGCTAGTGAAAAATGGATAGGCAGTTTTGAGGACAGAAGGACGAATGTCAGTCAGAATCAGTCCATGGGAATAGAAGATGGTTTAGGAGAGTGGTAGATGATAAGATGAGGTAAAGGAGGGACCCAGGTGGTAGGGAAGTTGTGACTTAGTTTTGTGCATAGAATGGTAAGCCATCTGTTGATAAATATGTCTGAGAAGCTTAGTGATATTGGGGCTTCCTTTTCTGTTGCAGAGTTTTGGGGTGACATTGCCAAGGAATTTTACTGGAAGACTCCATGCCCTGGCCCATTCCTCCAGTACAACTTTGATGTGACTAAAGGGAAAATCTTCATTGAGTGGATGAAAGGAGCAACTACCAACATCTGCTACAATGTACTGGATCGAAATGTCTATGAGAAAAAAATTGGAGATAAAGTGGCTTTTTACTGGTAAAAAATCTATCTTATAGTCTGTGACAGATAAAAGCAGTCCCTCTTATATTGATATAGTACTTCATAGTTGACAAAGTACTTTAAAATTCATTAACTCCTTTGATGCTTACAACAACTGGGTAGTATAAGCAAAGTATCCTTAACTTAATGTCTCAGTTGAAGAAAAATAACTGAATTAAGTTAAATGATTTCCCTTAGATTACATAAGTAGTATATGAGAAAGTTGACATTCAAAGCCAAGTGTTCTGACTGCTTGGCTTGTGGTTGGAGAGGAAGAGGGATGTGGATAAATTAAAGAGAATAGGACTGAGCAGCTTTCTTTCTTATTCTTGCTTTGGGAGGAAAATAGGTATTTTTTCACCACCACCACCATTATCATTACCTTTTATTGGGTTATCTCCTTTGATGCTTACACCAACTACAAAAGCACTATTTGTTTTCCTCATTTTACATGTGTGAAAACTGAATTTCCGAGAAGTTAAGTGACTTAACCGAAGTCAAAAGCTAGCAAGAGGCCGGGTGCGGTGGCTCACGCCTGTAATCATAGCACTCTGGGAGGCTGAGGCGGGCGGATTGCTTGAGGTCAAGAGTTCGAAACCAGCCTGAGCAAGAGCGAGACTCCCGACTCTACTATAAATAGAAAGAAATTAATTGGCCAACTAATACATATAGAAAAAATTAGCCGAGTATGGTGGCGAATGCCTGTAGTCCCAGCTACTTGGGAGGCTGAGGCAGCAGGATTGCTTGAGCCCAGGAGTTTGAGGTTGCTGTGAGCTAGGCTGATGCCACGGCACTCACCTAGCCTGGGCAACAAAATGAGACTCTGTCTCAAAAAACAAACAAACAAAAAAGCAAGAAGCAGGGCTGAGATTCAAACCCAGGCCGTGTAATACAAAGCTTACACTTTTAACCATGATACATACTACCCCTTTAAATTCCTTACCTTGGCCTCTCAACAGCTTTGCAAAACTTCCATTTTATAGGTGAATAAATGAAGCATAGAAGGATTATGTAATGAATAAGGTCATAGAGTAAGTAAGTGGTAGAGCCAGGATTCAAACTCAAGACTATCTGACTCATTGCTTGTATTACTAGGCCATGTGGCCTCCCCAGAGGGAACTTTCTAAGACCCCCCTCCCCCAGCAACTTAGCTCTCTAGGAGGTATTATTACAGTGAATCCAAATAGAACCTTGAAATTCTAGTGATTGGGGTGTTGCTTCTGCTACCCTCTATGAGCACTCTGAGAACTGATCTGTTTTTTAAGCTAGCCAGTAGGGGCAGATTGGATGTTTCATGGAAGTGTTAAATTGGAACTCACTCAACACTTGTTCAGTTTATGTAAAATATTACGATGAGTCCTAACCTGAGAGGCAGAAAACTTAGGTTCTCATTCTAACTCTGCTATTTACTTTGTGTGTAACCACAAGCGAGGCATTTAACTGTCTGAGAATCAGTTTCCTCTTCCATAAAATGAGGATAATAATTTTACTCTTGTCTTTCTCACTAAATTTTTATAAGAATTAAATGAGATAATGTTGTAAAAACATTTATTTATTTATTGGAGAACATACAAATGTTAGCGCTCTATTATCACATTACTGTTGCTTAATTGGAGGTCACTTTGCCACTCACTGTTATATCTGTTGAGACTCTTTTTAGTTTCTGCTCTAGTGCTTTATACTTGAGCTCAGCTGACATTTGAGCCCACCTCTTAGACTCTTTAAGGATCAGAAAACCTTTAAAGATCTTCAAAGGAGATGCTGTGTCTGAATTTCTTCCCCAGTTTGAAACTCAGGTGCCTGAAGAAAGACTGAGAATATACAGGCCAGAGATTTCAATCACTGGAGATTGCTCCAGAATCCTGAGGCTTTTTCTTTCTTGAGACACTAGTTGACCTATCACTCTTTACCTGAACAACCTCTGGAGAGCCTCTGTTTCTCCATTTGTAAAATGAAGGGAGTAGACTAGATCAGTGTTTTCCAAAGAATATTTCAGGAACCACTAATGACTGAAGATATTAGTAGGGGTTTCTTAATTCATGAAATGAATGAGTCTGAGAAACACTACATAATAGATTGCCTTTGTGTGGGAGTCTTAATGTATTTGAACAAAGTAAAGTCTCCAAGAAGTAAAGTCTGCCATAGAGATATCTGATTAATATTTTTTAAATGTGAGATTTCCTAAATTAATTTGGGCCCCAAACACTTTATAGCATGCTATTAGTACCATGAGTAGTGGTATTCCATGGAACAACAGTTTGGGAAGCACTGGATTAAATAGTCTCTAAATTTACTTCCAGAGCAAAATTCTATAACTGAACAAGATATCCTCATTCCCTTTTTATATTGGTCACTCTCTCAACAAGAATTGTTAAAGATACTAGATTCTCAGCCCTCTTAGGTGTTATGGATACTAGGATAGAGTGGTAGGAGACAAGTACCATATGGGCAATTATTATTCAATTCTTTTATGTATATAGTAAAGCAAAAGCAAACTACAAATAAATCACATTTGTTATAAAAAGTAAAGTTCAAATATGTCAGATATGTGGTTGCTTCCCTTTGTTACCTCCATATTTTAAAATTATATACTTATATTGCTATTTATCTTTTTTGAAGAAAGTATTGATTTCTTGTTATGATAGATAATGTAGTCTCATCCTCCCTATATAATTATAGCTATTTTCTAGTTAATTTAAAATCACTGTTTACATAATAACATATTATAGCTATATTTCCTTTTATGTACAGATTTTTGTTTTCTCTGAAGTTAATAATTGCTTACCATTTTTTAATACTATTTAAGCCTTTATCATATACATAATTTTTCCTTTTTTTTTTTTTTGAGACAGAGTCTCACTGTGTTGCCTGGGCTAGAGTGCTGTGGCATCAGCCTAGTTCACAGCAACCTCAAACTCCTGGGCTCAAGCGATCCTCCTGCCTCAGCCTCCTGAGTAGCTGGGACTACAGGCATGCGCCACCATGCCTGGCTAATTTTTTCTATCTATCTATCTATCTATCTAGTTGGCCAGTTAATTTCTTCTTCTTCTTTTTTTTTTTTTCTTTTTTTTTTTTGAGTCAGAGTCTCTGTTGCCCAGACTAGAGTACCGTAGTGTCAGCCTAGCTCACAGCAACCTCAAACGCCTGGGCTCAGACGATCCTTCTGCCTCAGCCTCCCGAGTAGCTGGGACTACAGGCATGCGCCACCATGCCTGGCTAATTTTTTCTATATATATTAGTTGGTCAATTAATTTCTTGCTATTTTTAGTAGAGACGGGGTCTCGCTCTTGCTCAGGCTGGTTTTGAACTCCTGACCTTGAGTGATCATCCCGCCTTGGCCTCCCAGAGTGCTAGGATTATAGGTGTGAGCCACCATGCATGGCCAATATACATAATTTTTCTAACCTGTTTATCATATAGTTTATTATAAGTCCTCTTTTTTCCCCCCAAAGTTCCTCCTCTTGGAGCCTACTTTCTTTCTGCTCTAATTTGTATTACTATTTTTTTAAATAATGACATCTTTTTAGTGATTTGCTCTAGTTGATATATTAATATTAATACTTCTTATAGAGCCATAGTATGACTTTCTTCTTGACTTAAACTGTGCCATTTAGATAGCTGTAGTGGCATTAGCAAGCCATATCTGTAGTTTATTTCTTGTTTTGGGACATGCATTGTATATACACTGAAATAATCCACAAAGGAAATAGTGCTCTTAGGAAAGTATTCCAATTAGCCAAAATAGAACCATATTAAAGAAGAATTGGCCTTTTACTTTTGTCTTGACACATTGCAGATGTTCATGGAATAATAGTATTTTTAGAACTTGAAGCAACTGTTAAGAGTCCATCTAGGTAGGCCAACTCTTTTTACATAATCAGTAGATTAAGGGCCAAAGAAGATAAGTGATTTGCCTAAGGGTCATACACCTCTTTGAAGACAGAACTGAAACTAATCTCCAGATATTCTCACTCTTAGTCAACTATTCTTTTTTTCACATGATATTACCTCATTATTCTAGTAGTCTATCACTTGGCTGTGACAGATGAAAAGAGAAATTAGCCATATTAGTAAAATTAACTTAAAATTAATTTGCTTAAAAATATTAGATAAAATGTGTTATCTATCAAGTTTAAATGTCCCAGATCCTGGTCTTTTGGAGTGTGTATTCTATTTGGGAAGATTGAATAGGCCTATATAAAAGAGTCTGAAAGCAGTTATGGGCCAAACTACAAAGAGCCACTTATACAAATAGTTCACACAAAGGAAAAAGCATTATAAGGAGGCAGGATAACAAAGATTAAGAGGAGAATGGGTTTTGCTGTCAGACTAACCTAGTTTGAGCCCTATTTCTGCCAGTAACTAGCTGTCTGATCTTGGACAAGTTACTTAACCTCTTTGAGCCTCAGTTTTCTCAGCTGTAAAATGTGGATAAAAGTAGCTTTTATCTCATGGAATTGTCAATTGAGTAGTATTGAATAGGATAACAAACCCATGTGTCAAGTTCCTGGCACATAGAAAGCACTTAATATTAACCACCATTATTGTTATCTTGGGACAATGGGAAGACCAAATCTGTTTGAAGTGAAAGCTTTATGCAGGGAACAATTTGTTCATTCAATAAATACTTATTGAGAACTTACTATGTGTCAGGCACTACTCTAAACAAAACAAAGTTCTTCACAACTGTATTAACTCCCCTTAGAGGCAAAAAGAAAATAAAACAAAAAAATTAAAAATAAAAAAGATGAGAGATATAAAAATTTAAAAAATAAAATAAAATAAAACAAAGTTTCTGCCCCCGTGGAAGTTGTAACCTAGCTTGAGGAGACAGACAATAAAAATAAATAAATAAATAAATAAATAAATTGATAACTATATGACAGGTAGTAATAAGTGCTGTAGAAAAATACAGAGGAGAATAAGGGAAAAGGGAATGATAATGCAGAGTGGGGGCTGATAAGGGAAGAACCTTCTGATAAAGGTGACATTTGAGT